GGTCAGGAGTGAGGGCAGGGAGAAAGAAGGGACAGGAAATGATGGAAGAAGGGAGAAGGTGGCAGTGGGGAGGGAAACAGAGAGACCCACATAAAGGGGCATTCAACGGAATGCTATTCTGACTCATGGATTACGCAATTGCATAGAATATAGTTTTCTCTAAAAAACAAAGTGAAGTCAAACAGAGAGAGAGTGAAGGCTCACCATCTTGAGAACCCTCCAGATTCTTTGCACTTTGGATGGAAGTGGTTGAAAAAGGAAGAAAAGTAAAACTGAAGTGGACATGGATTCTTTAGTGAGAGATACAAGTTCATTTCAAACATATGAAAAAAATAACAATAACAAAAACAGAGGGCTGCTAGGTAAGACACCCGACTTGCAATAAAGATTTCCAGATATAAAAGAAAAAGTCGCCTAATGAGGCTAAGAAATACAATCAATGTGGTGGAAACGTTTGTTTGAAAAGTGCTTTTTTCTTAACATTCATATTGATAAACTGTGAATCTCAATATAGCTGTTAGCTATCAAGTAGAAAGTGTGGCACTGTGTGCACTCTTTTAATCGCGTGACAACACCAGATAAGGTGCAGGCACATGAATGTCACTTGTCTTCTTAAAGGTCCTCAGACATACTAGTAGTACATAGATGATGCCCGGCACCACTGTGGGTTAGACATGCGCTGCTGACCTCAAAGCCAGTGGTTCAGCCTATTTGCAGCTCTGAAGGAGACAGTTGAGACTGTCTGCTTCGGTCAAGTTTATAGGCTCAGAAACCCCATCTAGAGTCGCTGTGAGTCGGAATCGAGTCGTGACAGGGAGGACAAGGCCTCAGAACTGAATCAGTGGCGGTGGTTTGGTTTTTTTGGGTTTTCTTTTCTTTTCATAGGTCGGTGATTCGAACCCACCCAACAGCTCTGGGGAAGAGTGGTCCTTCGAACTGCAGCCATAGGGACTGTGGTCAAGGAAACCCTACATGGTTGGTCACCGCAGGGGGGTCCCCGTGAGTCCTCGCCTACCCTGGCAGCTAACGATAATCACACCCCAATGGATCAACCTCGAAGCCCTTGAATTAAACCTTACTTCCTTTTTCAAAATCCCAAATGCCCCTCATACTCTGTGTGTTAGCAAATGCACCCACGTCAGAAGGTGAGAGGCGGCCAAGGTTCCATTTTTCTGCACATTGCAGCTTTCCCAGAGGTGATGCTCAATTCTCTTCATCCAGAGGACCAAATCCATCATAACAATGCATCCCTCCCCGCCCCGCCCCCTTTCTGTTACCGTTCATAAAAGAAACCACTCACAAAACCAGCTCGGATTGAGCACAAATAGATCCATTTGCTGCAGCAGCTGTCAGGACGTACGTAGCTGCGTATCTATAGGTTGATAATTGGAAGGGGTCAGGAGCCAGGGACTGGAGACTGTATGCAGTAAAAGTTGTGATTCTTTAAGAGCTGACAGCGTCCTTACAAACTCTCTCTTCTCTTTATCTTATCGGGACAAAGAAAAAGTAAACAGAAAATTCTCATTACCTCTCAATGTCAGTGAGCCTGGAGGAGTCCCGGAATCCTTTGGCAAAGGGGTTGCTATCTATTTTCAGCTTGGTAATCTGGAAAGAATGGGTGACAAGACGATATCATTTCCCAGGTCAAAAAAGTTAAATCAGGAGTAAAGAGTTGGTTCATTTTCCACAGCACCCCAAAATATCTTAAAGGTCTCTTAGTGTCGTGAGAAGGGTCCAAAGTGCTAGAGGAGCTCACAGGAAAGAGCTGTCTTGGCGGGAACTGTCGTGGAAGACTGCAGGGAGAGGAGGTCTTTGAGGAGAGGAGGGTCCTAATGAACAGGCTGGAGGCCAATCCACAGAGACAATTAGGGATGGGGTTCCTTTTAGGCAAGGGTACATATATACAGCCGAGTTTGAAGTATTTAACAGCAATAAAAAGTTAGAGCTGGTCTGTGTGGTGGGAGAGTAGCAGATCAGGCTGCCTACATAGAAGTTGCTGTTAGTTACCCTACAATGGATTCCAACCCATAGCAACCCCATGTGTGAAGACTTACAGCCCTAGAGATCCTTCAGGGCAGTTTAACTCTACCCTACAGTGTCACTGTGAGTTGGAATTAACTATACAACAATGGGTTATCGGGCTTTAAGGTTATGAAAGTAGATCCCCAGGCCTGCCTTCTGAGAATTTGAACCGTCAACCTACCAGCCAGTATTTGAGACTTAACCATTTGTACAACCATGTGACTCCTGCCTAAATGAGGGAACGACCTCGAATGCTGGTATTGCTAGGCAGTGGGAAACAAGTCAGGAATGATGCTTCACACTAAAAAAAATCACGAAACCAAGAAGCACCTCGTGGTATAGATGGATCTGGTGGCCATTATGGTGAGTGAAATTCATCAATCACACAAGGACAAATATTATATGAGACCATTGTTATGAGGGGCCTGGGGTGGGGAGGCGGACTTTTAGTCCAAAGGGAACAGATTTTGAATGTTACCAAGGAAGGCAGGGCAAGGGAGAGAAGATTTTAGCAATAGACTACGTTAGTAGTTATCAACCTACCAGGAGGAGGAGAATAATCAAAGGAGGGAGGGCAGTTGAGGGATGGGGGGAGGGGAGGAGAGAAAGGTTGACAAGTAACAAATTATTGTAAATTTGATGTAAATCCCTGACCTAATTCCCAATCTAAAAATATTTTAAAAGAAGAACGATGTTTCAATCTGACTGGACATTATCTTTTGTTAACATTTTGGGCATACATATCAGAATAGATGACAAGATGAAATGGCTAATAACCCTATGTTTCTTATTATATATTTGATACACATGAGATATAATGCTCTAAGGGTATACATTTTGTCCCAGTTCCTATTTCCACTCAACTAAATCAGAACCAGCTCAGTCCCTATCTTATTATCTTTCCATACAATGGTCAGTATGAGGCAGAATTGACTAGAAGGCAATGGGGTTGGGGGGCTCTTTCGTTATGATTTTATGCAAAGAGAGAGAGAGAGAGGTTTAATAAGAAGAGAAACCAGTCTGAAGTATTAAGCATCTATTCTGGGGTATTCATAACTCCCACAGCACTAATATTAATGTAGAAGAATCATAAGCTCTTCTCTTTTGAACAACAACCAAAAAATATGTTGAGAAAAAAGCAAAGCACACACTGAAAAGAGATACTTCACATGTACAATTCTGAATGTAGAACTGAAAGCCACCTTAGAGACCAGTCTAGTGCATGCCGTCATCACACAGATAAGCACCCTGGGGCAGGAATAGCAGCGTCCGGGCCAACAGGAGTTGATTAGTAACTTGATTACAACCAGGGAGACTGTTTAGGGGAGCCATCCTTCCTTGGTGTCAGAATTAGAATATACATTAGTTAGAGAGAGGCATATACAAAATTTTCTTAACTGGGGGTGAGGGGTGACTTATAGGCTGAGGCATTTACTCTTCCTTCTTACTACAGAATAAACAAAATTAGAAGAGTGAACCTGAAGTACTGTTTTGCCAGCAAGCAACTTTTCCTGTAAGCAGAGGGCATCTGTGGGTCTTTCAAAGCCTCAAGAATTGCTTTTTGAACTACAAATTAATGTCTTTTTAAAAAATTTGTCATCCTTTCCAGAAAAGTGAATTAAACCAATGCAACAAAATTACTTCCACATTTAAAGGATGCCTCTCACACTATCTCAAACTGCTGCTCACCCCTGCCAATTACGATGGCTAGTTAGAAGATTGATGTTCTGATAATACTCAGTTCGAGGGCACCTGACAGTGACTCAGCGGTGTGCCCTTTCAGCCCGTGGGCATTCACTAGAGAACAGCAAAAGAAAACGGCTCGTTTCGTGGTTAACTTGGTTGTGGGCACTGGTAAATGGGGAAGGCATTAAGTGAGTAATACGAAATCTATTCTCAGTTGATCGCATCGCCATGTCTGTGACTTATGCATGTAGAGAAATATACACGCGTCGAGGAGGTAGCTTCTAAACGGCGGCCATCAACAATTCAGAGAAATTCTTCTCTCACACACGCTACTGCATTAGAAGTCACAAAGGCGTGAAAGATGATAGCTCTTTCAGTCGCTCATCCAGACTAGGATTTCATTTTGAAAGTCAGTTTTCAAGAAGGCGGCAAAGAATGTGGTTGTTTGCCATAAATTGTAATCATCTTCTAAGGCGCAGGCTACCAGTAGGTTCTGAAATTGTAAAATACCAACACGATGTTCAGATCCTCAGACACAGGAAGTGTGTATTTTTCTATTGAATACTCAGGTAAAAACACTTTGTTTCCAAACACGTCTCAGGCACCATGCTAGACACCAGGCTGCCAAGACAGAGAACTCAAAGTCTCTGCCTGAAAGAAGCTTAAACCTTCAGGGACCAGCAGAGAGATGCAGCCTCACTTCCATCCCAGCAGTCCCAGCGGAGCAACTTCATCTAGGAAGTCAGAGACTAACTCTGTGTGGGAGCAGACAGCTCATGTTTCTCCCGCACAACGACTGGTGGTTTAAACCACCCACCGTGTGGTCAGCAGTCCAAAACCCACCCCACAAGGTGGCCAAGGATCCTCAGAAAGATGTAGAGGAGGCAACAACTTGAGGGAATTTAAATTCTGTAAAGTTGGGAACGCCCGTCAAGGGTTAGTGACATTAAGAATTACATCATCAAATCCAGGTGATTCCAAACTGAGGCTGTGCAGGAGAACAACGAAGATAAGGTTTCCATAGGTAGCACCTTTATAAAATTGAGACGTGAATGGCTTTGCGAATTGGGTAACATTTTCTACAGACTACGGAAAGATATGTATCTGATGCAAAATTTTTTTCCCTTTGAAAGTTCTTTTTTCAGCCATCCTTAAAATTAAGTGAACTAAGGGGACCACCTCCAGCTTTGTTCATGTTTTTATAAACAAGAAGGATATACACTAACATCAACGCACAGTACTAGATAAAGAGGGCTTCCAAAAAGGTAAAGATGATTGGCTCAAAATGTGATTGTGGAATATCTTAAAACCTTCAATGGCCTAATGTCCACACAGAGAAACAAACTATTGGGATGCATGTTACCGAACTGATGCATCACCATATTTAATATTACTGCCATACTTTAGAACAAGGATGGGAATTAAGCTCAATATGAGATAATTGGAGATTTCTTCAGAGTTTCCTTTCATTATTATCAATCTTTTTATTCATCTTCCATAATCTCCAAGAGTAGCAATGGTAACTTTTCTTTCCTTTTCATATAAAAATAATTTCAAATTAGAGAAAACATTTCAATAATCATACAAGGTCTCTCAAACAGCCAGATCCACCAGTTGGGTACAGCCTTATAATGGTCTCATTCATGAGGTAGGAAAAGGGCTCAAGAAAACAATTGGGAATTTACCTTCTCTATGTCTTTGGGATGCATAAATGATAGCATGGGTGGTTGCTAACTGAAGTGTTTTGGGTTTGAGTCTATCCAAAGGTGCCTAGGTAGAAAGGTGTGGTGACTACTTCCTCCAAACCTCAGACACCGAAAATCCCAAGGAGACAGATCCGGGCTCACCAGGAATCACAAAGACTTGACCATCACTGGTTTGCTTACTGATCATTTGTTTTGGTTTCTTTTAGCCCATGGGCCCCTCTTTCTAATTCCAGGGAAGAGTTGCTTCTAGAAGCTAAAGGGGGGGGAAACTGGATTGAATGTCTTGTGGCTAAAATTGCACAAGGACTCCGGAGCGACCTACAAATCGGAGGGGATTTGAGGAAGTACTCAACGGCAAGACAGAAACAGTGGGCTAAACATTTTCCTGAACCCACATTGCCAACTCTGGTAACATTAGACCCTGAGTGCACTGGGGTGTCCACCATAAACACCCCCGTAACATCTGTGATGCTCTAATTCCAAAACAAATGGTCAAAAACACGGTTTGATCTTTTGACCAGTTACATGCTAAGTGTCATGCCTCTTGAGTTTACATAAAAAGCATTGTGTTCTGTTATTTTATTTTAGATTATGAGACTGACACACTGCCTACTGCACTAAGAAGGCACATACTGTTATTTTTTTTTAATTAATTTATTTTTTTAAACATTTTTAAGGGGCTCATACAACTGTTATCGCAATTCACTGTTATTTTACTTTAAAGTGGCTTTCAAATAGCAAAATTTTAACCCTTTAGATCAGTGGGTCTCAACCTTCCTAATGCTGCGACCATTTAATAGTTCCTCATGTTGTGGTGACCCCCCAACCATAAAATTATTTTCGTTGCTACTTCATCACTATCATTTTGCTACTGTTATGAATCGGGCGACCCCTGTGAAAGAGTTGTTTGACCCCCAAAGGGGTCATGACCCACAGGTTGAGAACTGCTGCTCTAGATGATCAACTACGTTTTAAAAGATTGGTCATAGATGTATTCTGTATATTTAAATAAAAATCAGTATTAATATGAAAATAAATCACTTTGAGAATGAAGTTTAACATTCCTTGATGAAATTCAGGGTAACGGGGTGGGGGTGGGGGGTGAAGTACAACCAAACACTGATGAGACAGGGAGGTAGTATTAGAGTGATTTCAGTTGTTCTCTCGTTTCATGAATTCCCTCACGCAGGATGCTGAAGCCTCAAAGGTAATACTAAAAGAAGCACTGAAAAATAATCAACTGCCCAGGATCCTGTGGAAAGAAACCTATGTGAAACTAAAGGCACGGCTTCTTTATGACCAAATAATGAAATTTTAGGGCAACAGTGCTTTGCCCTTCCTTAAGGAAAAAAATTTACCAAGCAAGAGCAGCAGCGTGTGTCTACGGTGCCTGGTCAGCTAGGGTGTATCTGCTGTTGGTCGGCACCAGCCAGTCGGTTTTGACTCATAACCACCACATGGAATCGAGTATCACGGCCCCAGTATAACCCTGAGCTGTGATCTTTATGGCCATCCATAGCTGCATCTGCTTCCCATGGAGCCATTGGGTGGGTCAAATCAACCTTTCTTTGCATCTAAGCTCTACCCGTATCTAAATCACTGACTAGTTCAAGCCAAAACACCGACCCCACATTAATTACGTATAATGTAGAACATGCCTAATGCACCTCCTAGCCAGAAATGTCACTCTTTCAACAGTGCTAAGTACGTATGTGTAACTGGAGGGCGTACTTTGACTCTGCTAGTTGTGCCAAAGAGCAGGCAACCTTTCCCAATGGCCATCACTCACGTGGTCTCACCCGACTCAGAATGTAGCTGGGGTTTCCAGCCGCAAGGTGAAATTGGTCCTCAGAGACCATTTCTCCAATGATCGGGAGAAGAGCTGGTCGAAGGCATTTAAAATGAAACCTGACCTACACTTCAACTCTCCAGCCCCACTCTGCCTGCTCAAAAACAAGGCCTGACCTTTACATCTGAAATTATGAAATAGTTTGTTGAAAGTGTAATGTACTTAGCTTTTATCTAATAATAAAAGAAATGCAATCATTCCCTTGCAAGAAGCAGAGGGAAAAAATAGCAACAAAGAGAAAAGGTCCCCTTTTCATTGCTCATTAATGAAACTCAACTACAGTAAGTGAGGCGCGCTTTGCGAAGCCGCTATTGAAAGTTTGATTAGGGTTTTCATAGACAGACAAATAGCAAGAGTGCACAGCGTGTTAGAGAAAGCACAGGGGTCCACAGTGAGGATCCTTTCTTTCCCCTTCCCTCTCTGTTCAGTGTGCATTCAAGAAAACAGAACAGAAGGCTTATGTTGACGATATATTTACTTTGCTTATTTACTGATATTTATTTCATTTTATGTTTGCTATTTTTCAAAAGTGTACACAAACGGGATAGATGTAAGGATGCCTGGAAAGAGGAGGCGGATGCTTTAGAAAAGGAGACTTTGTTCTGCTCTGGAAAGAATCACATTAGAAAGTCCTGGAAAAAAATGGAACAATTCAAAATCGTAAAAAAGGACAAGCTTGCTGGTTGAAGAGAGACTGGTAGAATTCTCAAGATCACCCTTGAAGTATGGAAGGGACAAAAATCTCATTAAATAATCACATTGAAGCTAAAAAAGGACCAAGTTCGGGGCTTAGGAAAGGAGGAGGGGTGGAAACAGGAAGCACAGACAGGAAGTGGGCGGTGCCCTCGTGGATTGCAATGGGTGGGATGAAACAAAATGTGTCCGAACGGTTGAGTGTAAAGCTAATGACCGGTTCTGGAAACCTTCACCTAATTCACAGTAAAAAGTTATTTTAAAAAGAGGATGTTGTAATATGGTCTCATCAAGCCACCCTCATCCCCTCGCAACCCTGTGCGACAGCCTAGAGACGCCCCCCTAGGCTTTCCAAGGCTGTAAGACTACCTGGAAGCAAACCGCCAAATTGTCTTTTTCCCACACAGAGTGGAGAAACAGCTGTGTTTGAACTGCCAACCTTTCCATTCGCAGCTGAATGTTTAACACCTGTATGTACCACCAGGACTCCTTATAAAGTGTCTAACTCACTCGTTCCATTGAGTCAACTCATAGACATCCTATATCGGATTCCTGACACTGTAAATATGTACTGGGGAGACAGGCTCATCTTTCACCCACAGAGAGATTGCTGATCTTGTGAGTTACACAACTGATCCACAGCACCACTAAGCTCCTTTGTAACGAGTGTAAGACCTAAAAAAAAAAACCCAAACCCACTGCCATGACGTTGATTCCTACACACAGCAATCCTATATAGGGCTCTGAGACTATAAATCTCTACTGGAGCAGAAAATCTCATCGTCTTCCATATACAGGGTATACTCAAAAAACAAAACAAAAACCTACTTCCATCTAGTTGATTCCAACTCATAGAAACCCTACAGGAGAGGGTCCAACTGTCCCTGTGGGCTTCTGACACTGTAACTCTTTAGGAGTAGGAAGCCTTGTCTTCCTCCCATAGAGCAGCTGGTTGTTTTGAACTGCTGACCTTGAGGTTAACAGCCCAACACATAACCCACTATGCCACCAGGGCTCCTTATATAGGATAGAAGACTCCCAAATTGACTTATTTATTATGTGATTATTGAGCACCTGCTATATGAATTTGTCTTATGAAGTTTATAAAATATTTGCAAAATTGACCTATTAGTATACCAAATCAAATCGATGGCTATTAATTATGTCTTTGTGTATATGTGTGGTGATATTGTGGTTTTAAGTATATAGGAATAAACTCAGATATAGCAGGGTTTATTGAGAACATTAATTCTGAAATTAGCCTCTTCCATTATGGATAATTAAGCAATAAAATGACATATTAATCATATTAATCCTTACCCTTATTGATGCAGCAAAGGAGAGTTGACCACTAATAACTGGAATGTATGCCCATTTATATTTTCAATCAGAGATAAACATTTTTAAGAGGAGCAATTAGTAATGGAAATGTATGTTAATTAATATCTTAACCCATTCTAATTTAGCAATATTTTCAAATCAATTTTCAAACCTTTTGAGATTATCAGTAGCCATCTTTTAGCCACGCAATCTATGGTGGTGCCATTAAAAAGACAAATTAAGAACCAGAATATCAGAGCTTAATGATGGCTCTGTTCCCAGCTGTGGTCTTGGATGGATGGCGTCCCCATTCTGAAATTCAGTTTCCTCACCTATAAATTAAGACTCTCGGCATTCACTTCAGATGATGAGTGTCAGAATTATATGAGACACTAAGAAAAATGTGGAGGAATTTTAAAAATTAAAAGGAATAAATCCAAACTATGAGTGGTGTAGTGGGTTACGTGTTCGGCTAATCACAAGGTCAGCAGTTTGAAACCACCAGCAGCTCCGTGAGAGAAGCAATGCTTTCTACTTGCATAGAGTTATCATCTTGGAAACCCACAAGGCAGTTCTACCCTGTCCTAGAGGGTCACTCACTATGTGCCAGAAATGCTCTAGGGCACACTGGGCAGCCAGAGCTTAGTGGTTAAAACCTACCAGCTGAGGTTCAAATCTATGATGGGGCAGTAAGATAGCATTCCCAAAAAACCCACACTCAGTGCCATTGAGTTGATTCTGGCACACAGGGGCCCTACCAGACAGAGTAGAACTGCATCCATGGGTCTGAGGCTAACTCTTTACAGGAGTAGAAAGCTTCGGCTTTTTCTTGCAGAACGGCTGGTTTCCCAATGATGACCTTGAAGTTAGTGTCCAGTGTGTAACCTACCATACCACCAGGGCTCCTAAGTCACTGTAGGCAAGTTATGGAACAGCCTGCCTCCATTTTCCAGTTGTCAAATGTGGAGTAATAGTAAAAATAGTCCTGCCATCCAATTTCATGATATCATGATAAAGTAAATAAGGTAATATATTTCAAAAGCTACATTGCCTACAGTAAGTACCCAGATATTAGATATTGTTGTGATGGAAATGCCAACCTTCTAAAGCAACGTACCATGATCTGTAAGGTCCTGCCAATATTTGTTCAGGGTCGCTCTTTCACCTATTAAAGCCAATCTAAGGAATATACTTAGAAGCTGCCTTTAATTTTGTTCTATGTGATTTTCACACACATGCACACACAGTTGCTGAAGAAATACATACATCTTTAAATATAAGCTATCTATTTAGAAAACAATGCATGCACTATTATCAGCTAGATATCTTGATGCTGATTAAATGTTCAACTGTTTACTTGTGCAGTTTAATATCCTCAGAGACTTTTAGACTACTAGAGTTATCTCGTCCTTCATTATGGCTGAATAAGCTAAACATCGAAAGTGTGAGTAGTCTGGCAGTTCGCTAGAATATATGTGTGCTTAATTCCGTAGGGAAATCACACTTCTAAATTCCATAAAGCTAAGAGTATATGGTTATGCATGTTATAAGGTCTACTAGGAAAAGAAAGAGAAAGAGAAAAATCTTCTGGAGAAGGGAATTCTGGAAGGAAGTTTGGGCGTAGTCAGGAATGTAAGACATCTGGAAAAGGTGGCATAAGGCAAATTCTCATAACCATGTTTGTAAAGCTGTGGGCTGCAAGTGAATCACTCTCTCCCACGTGAACGTTCATCGTGAGGACGGGGCTATCCCTACTCTTTAAGGAAACGTCCGAACCTCCTGCAATCGTCATTGCAAACTCACCAGTTGATTCTGGTAGGCAGTGACTGCGGTGAACACTGTCTCTGGAAAGATGAATGTCCTAAATTCTTCAGACTTCAAGTTGAGTAATGAGGCTGTGTGGTCTTTCTTCTTAATGATGTGTACTCGAGGCTGATACTTATGCATTGAGTTCAAAATGATCTACAACAGAAAGTGGGCAGTACTGAATTTTAAATACTTATCTTCAACTACTGAACAGGTCAAAAAGTGAAACATATATATATGAAACCCATATAGCTCATTTCAAAATCAAATCTAAGATGGGGAGCCCTTTTGTGCATTCCTATAGCCAATCAGTTTCACAAGCCACTGCGGTCATTGCAGTGAGTCATAATTTATCAGAACAGCCACAAATGATACAGGTTGGTGCGACTGTCATTTTCAAAATGAGGGAGAAAATGCGAACATTTCTGGAGGATAAGTTTTATCTATTTGTTTTAATCAAGTCTTTAAAGATTTTTCTTGTTTTTGTGACTCCAACAGATGCATGCCGAAATTGTCTAAAACAAGAAATTCCGTGTTCTAGGAGACAGGTTTTTCATTTATGGTAGGGGGAGGGCTAAAACCTCATATAGGAAGAGCTGTGATGGGGCTCAGATGATGTAACCTTGGTGAAGCACAATAGCACCCAGTTCAAAGCAAAAGTGTTGAACTCAAGCTGAGTTCTATTGCACTGACCCAGGGACTGGAGGGTAGCCCTGCGCTTCACAGGACTTTCAATGGCTGTGGTAGTTTGGAAGCAGATTGCCAGACTTTTCCTCCAGGGTATTTCTAGGTGGATTTGAACTGCCAACTTTTTGGTTTGTAGTTGAGTGCTTAACTATTCGCACCACTCCGGGACTCCAACCAACAGTGACCCCAAACTCAAATCAAATTCACTGTCATTGAGTTGGGATGTGTGTACTTTAAAAAAGCTCTCACCCTTCAACTATCCCTAAAATAAATCCCTTTAAAAACTGGGCACTGGCAGACCTAGACCCCAGACTGAGTCTCAAACCTTCCTAGGGCCAAGAAACATTGATGGAAATGTGGACCCTGCTTCATTTAAGAAATTCATTCCTAGAAACAAGAAAGGTTCCTGCTATAAAACTAAACGACAAGGGGGCATCTTCATAACTGATGGAAAGAAATCAGCTAAACAGTGTACGGTTTAAAAACCTTTCCTGGCAGTTTTCAGCCCACACTAAATTCTGGTGGCAAAGGGCTATATGAAGTCATGAAAGTTCCATCCTAAAATGGATAGTAGGCACCATTTAAGACTAAACCATGTGTCAAAGTCTCGTCTTGGCGTAAGCAGGGTGGATGCCCGAGCTCCTGAAATCCAGCTGGTGCTGTTCCCACCCAAGGAGCTGATTCTGAAAGAACAACACTTCAGTTCGGGATAGCTGATCTTAAAATAAACTCTCCAGTCTTTCTGGACTGACCCAAACAATTCTTTTTAACATTTCACATAAGAAATGCCAAAATCATAAAAAGAATTCCTTTTCTTCCTGCAAAAAATTTCATTAGAGCTCAGGAAATTTTAATGTGAAAGAAAATAAGTCTACTCTCATTGACCTACTACAGAAAATACCATTCTGCTACTTCATACATTTTCACCCAAGGAGGGTGGGGGTGGGATCAATCAATGGAAGATCTTTAAAAATAAAAAAAGTAAAAACAATTATGCCAAAATGTTAAAGATAAGGTCAATTATCTTTTATATAGAAAATAGCAGAAGCTTGTTAACCTACTTTCAAGATCCCAAGCAGATTCACAAGTTAATCTGATTGTCCTGACTCGGTCACAATAAATAAGTTCTCTAGTGAGCAATGGGTGGTGGCAATGCCTGGAGTGACTTATTTGGCTCCAGGTCCAAAGTAACCATTTGAAACCCTATTTATAAGAACTCTCTGATGGAGTCTTACCTACTTAATACCACCCTCTTTGAGAAAGATTTTGAAGCATTTCCTCTGAATTTCACAGATCCAATAAAAATAAAAACTGTAAGTCACAAGAGCCTTAATACAGGGACGAAGAGAGAGAATAATCATAACAGCGTGTCCAAGCCAAGGGAAACAACTAGGAGATAGCTGGGTGGGATCTGGAAAGCTCGGTAAAGAAGGCCAAAAAGAAACAGTAGTCTCGGCATCAAAACGCTTCTGGAGGAGTTTTGCACAGAAATGGTGTCAGTGGTTGAACGACATTGTGAATATAATCATGCAGACCAAGGCCACTGTCACGGAGCCCATTCCGGCTCCTAACAAGCCTAGAGGACAGAGTAGGACCGCCTTCGGGGGGTGGGTACTGGACTATACATCTTTACAGAGTAGAATGCTTTGTATTTCACCCATGGAGTGGCTGGTGGTTTCAAACTGCGGACTTTGTGGTTAGCAGCCCCATTTGTGACCCACTGTGCCACCAGGGCTCCTTTGTGAATATAAACGAGACCACTGAATGGTACACTTAAAGAGGGCCTAAAAGGCGAGTTTCGTGTTAGAGAGATATGTATCACAATAAGAAAACTATCTGAAATATGCAAATTTGTCCAGAGAGGCGAATGATTTTGTAGCATAAAACCTAAAACAGTTTTCGAGCAAATCTCTCTTTAAGGACATGGGATAAAGAGACAGACAAACTACGCCTTCACAGAGACTGGTATCGATATGTGAGAGCTGCTCAGTGACTTCTGGTGCTAGGAACTCTTGGTTAGAACTCGGGATCCTTATTTCTTTCCCCACAGCTGGATGAATGCCTTATTGATATAAAATCAAATTTTGTTTTGTTTTTAGTTGCAGCTTTTCTTTCCAATGCTTTACATTCATTAGTCTCTTCACAAAGGGAATGTGCATGCACAACGAGTAAATAGCACTTTCCAAACTTATTTGGACATGAAGTTCTTTTAACCCAATGCATGTCAAATGAATATATTCTATAGACAGCACACAGAGAACTCCCATGAGAGGTCTTCACTCCATTTCATTTGAGATACAATCGACGGAGATTAGATGTTGAGGCCAAGAACAATGTGCTCCAAAAAAGCAAATCCCTTTCAGTCGGTGTAGATGGCAAGGCAGCCATGAAGGTCCAGACCTCGCTGCAGAGAAATGCTTCAAGGCTTCACTGTAAATCATCTCCGGACAACAACCCAGATCGCCCGAGGAAGGCGCGAGTGATCTCACAGAGTGGCAGGGAGATGGAGAGGGAGCAGGAAGAGAATGGGAACAGGCATCCTAGGAGAGTTCTGTGTGCCTGTCCATTCCACCCAAGCGCTTGCACAGGGCAAGACAATGTACTCACGTGGCCATGCTGATCCAGTTCATTGTTGGTGAGTTTCACTTTCTCAAAAGACACCATTTGCTTGAGTAGCTGTTCACCCGTAAAAGGAGAATCGGGGTGTACATATAGCCTTAAAAATAATGAGATCACTTTAATGAGACTTTTGTAAAAATCATCTGTTCTTTGTGGATATAAAATGTTGAGTTTTAGAAAGATACATAAAACTTCATATAAGTAGTAAATGTTATCTGCCCCACATATTTCAAATGTATTAAAAACAACAATGTTCAAATAATTCTGAAACATCTACATGCATTTATGTTCTAAGAAAATGATCACAATATCATTTTTCTATTATCTTTTTTTTTCTATTATCTTTTGAGTAAGCCTTTTTTCATTGTTATAAAGGCGGTTTTGTTTTTCACCTTGCTTGTCAGCTGTTTTGGTCGAACATAAAAGGTTACTGGTTGTAGACTATGTTACCCTGTTTACTTAATAAGTTCTTATTAGTAAGCATTGCTAAAGAGCAATAAAGACATAAAAAATGTAAAATAAAAAAATCATTTCATAGAATCATTTATTTAAACTTACTCCATTTAAGTCTGTGTTCTTTCTAAATTTTAAATCATTGACAATTCATGGAACCTTCTATAGTCTGCAGATCAGAGTTCCGATTCTGTTCCTCCTCTTGGAACTAAACAATGCTATTTTCATCTTCCATTGCAATGCCCCTGAATAAGAGTGGTTATCTAGCAGGGAAAGCTAGGAGTTATTAAATTTATCTGTCTGTAAAGAAGTTAGACAACAAAATAGGATTTGACGGGGAAAAAAGCCCTCTCATTTGTTGTGCAACTATTCTGTATAAGGTAATCTTTTCCTCGCTTAGTGTTAAATGCAGATTTATTGTACTATCACAATTAGCAGAATTCTTTCTGAAGTCAGTGAGATTTTAGATTACAAAACTAATGAAAAGGAAGACAAAATGCTTTTGTCTGTGTAGCAGGCTACTTATATATAATTTTTGAACAAGATACCTATAATGACAAAATTAGACAAATATTCTGCTTAGGGTTGTAATGAACTTGAAAAACAAAACTCAAATTTAATATTCATGTAAATGGCAATAATTCATGTAAATGGCAATGCTATGGTTTGCTACTAATAAAAGGAGCCCCATGGTATAGCATAGTGGCGGAGCCCTGGTGGTGTAGTGCATTATGAGTTGGGCTAACCACAGGTCAGCAGTTCAAAACCACCTCAGCAGTTCAAAACCACCAGCTACTCTGTTAGAACAAGATGAGGCTTTCTCCTCCTGTAATGATTTATAGCCTGGGAAACCCACAGAGACAGTCCCATTCTGTCCACAGGGTTGCAGTGAGTAGAAATCTATTGGATGACAGTGAGTGAGAGGTTTGCTACACAGGAGTCTCACAATTGAAGAAATAGAGACAGTTGCTGAAATTTATCAAACATATCAGAAGCAAAGCACAGAAAGTCTAACAGCACTAAATATTCCTGACAGAACTTTAAAGGCTGATGGGCTTGTCTGGCTGATTGTCTGAGGTGGAGTCCTAGTGACTGTGTTTCAATGAAAGTATTCATGGTGTCATTCTTCCAAAGTTATAACTTTATAGACACAGGTGTTTTACTGACTCACATTACATTGCAATTCCCTCCTCCCCCCCAAAACAAATTGTGTAAAGTCCTAGAAGCTAATGAAATATTCACTCTTAAAAAAGGATATTCATCATACACAGTGACATTAATTTAAATTTTATTATTTTTTAAAGAAAATGAAACATCCATTTAAAATGTAACATTAGTTTATATCGTGTATATCTTGCACATTTTCATAACCAAAAGATATTGCCAGACATTATTTCTTTTGATTAGTACCAATTAACTGATGAACTTCATTAGAAATAAAAATGCCTCAAAGTCCTAGAACCCCAAGGAATTTCCACCATTGAAGAGAAAACTGATCACCACCCAAATTCCTTATCGTTTGCTGTTGAAATAGAATTATTTCTTTTCATGATCATTTTAAAAGTAGGTGCTTAAATTACCTAGACTCCTTCGATGCCACAATGCATTAAGCATTTTTAATCTCATTTCAATATAAATCAGCTGACCTGGGATGAATGAAGAGCGCACAGGGAAAACCCTTCCTTCGCCTGCCTCTTGGACTTAAAATTCCAGCAATAGCTAAAGCATGCCTCAGTTAAGATAGTGTAACTTGGCCACCGGCTCCAACCAGAGCAGATTAGTAACATAAACAAGGCATGTCATCTTCCAAAGTCCTGCTGACCTGCACCAGTCCCCGTACCTTCAACTGAGGAAAGTGCCTGGTAGATGAGAAGGATTCCCTTCTGAGAAGAGTTGAGAAAGAAAAAGAAAAGGGCTGGGGGGGGGGGGGGGGGGGGGGCGCGGGACGTCTGGAAGTTGCTTGTAATAATGGTTAGGAATTTGTTCAAAATTTCTCTCTCTTTCTGGTTTCAAACTATATCGCAATACCCACCCGGCTAAGGAAACAAGAATACTAGGAAACTGACTTTAGAGTAAGTTATAGAGAATACTGATTATGTTCAATTAAATGTCTGTGATACAATGATCGTTGCTCAATTTAAAAAATGACTTTCTTAAAATGTATTAGTCATGACTGTTAATTTCCCTGTTACTGATTTGCAGGCCAGGAAGGTGTTCTTTTAAGTCTCCTCTCTAATGCACGAAATTTACCATATAAGCTCATAACGTGAGCAACCACTAGTTAAACTTCCTACTGCACCTGAACTTCAGGAAAAATGTTCTGGGTTGATTCTGTGCCTTGACAAACAGTCCAGGTGACACATTTAAACGGAAAGAGCAGTAACCTACAAAGTCCAAATCTGCGCATTTAAGTCAATCCTCAGTTCTCTAATATAAACCTTCAATTGATTTTTCCTTTCAATCAAGTAAAAAAATAATGTAAATGCTTTGAAACCTGTTTTGAGGATCCCAAATAAAATTTTACCTAATCTTCTTTGTTTTGTATTAATATATGACATTAGAGACCTGTAACCTTCAGCCATCCCTCTTCAGGCAGGTAGATAGGTATTCTCCCCACCTCCCCCATCCCTGAATGCCCTCTTTGGAGAAAACCAAGACAGTGAAGGTTTGCAAAATGTTTTGTTGTGGTTTTTAAAATACAGCAAACACACACACCATACCTAGTATATCAGATGAGTTATGTTTCATAGAGAAGAATATTAACCGGATGTTGAATTGCATTCATCCATTAAAGTATTTATGCATGGAAGAAAAAAGGGTGGGAGGAGGTCATATTTAAAATATCTGAACCCTTTCTGGTCATAGCAACCAAACTTTACTCAAAACGATGTTTATTCTGTGAGGACAGATAACCCACATTGTTAACCAATATTTAGAATAGACCACCGGCAACCTTCTTTGAAAGATTGAAGGGGAAACAGGCTAGATGGGTGATTTTAAATGCTGGTAGTCATATGAAGGAGACCCTGACAGTAACCGATATTTACACGAAATGTAAGGAAAACTGTGAAATAAATCATTATGACAAAAATCAAGGTAATGGCAGTCAGTGTTTTGTCAGTAAGCGAGAGCCACCTTTCTCGGAGCTTTATCCATCATTTAAATGGCTGAGTCCAAGGCGCCCAGGCCTGGACAGCCATCTCACCACAGCCTGCTGCTTTCCAAACAGAGCAACTTACAACTGAACACGCTCCACCCCAAACCACCCCCCAGCCCCACCTCACCCCCTCCTGCTACCCAAGCAGAGACTGTCTTGGCTAGTGTTTCCCGGGGGTGAGAAAAAGCCACGAACCTGGCGGGCAGCGGAGGGTCGGCCTTGCCAGCCACCAGCCAGGAGGACCGGTGGTAGGCGTAGCGGTACCTCTTGTTGTCCACGGGGACGATGTCCATCAGGACTATGTACTTGGCCTCAGGATCCACTCCCGAAAACGACACCCGGATTGTTGGGAACATCCTCCTAACACAGGAGACACAAAGGAATGCTCCAGCTCGCACAGGCTAGAGAGCGCAATTAGGAAGGAGGGACGTCCTGCCCGCCTCCCTCCCCAGGCCCTGCAGCCCCCAGGGTCCCGGAAAGCGACGGAAGATGGGAACACAGAGAGATCCGACTTCCCCACAGTCTCCGTTGTGTTGAGTACCAGCCCTGTTGCTGGGGGAAAGTGTTCCAAAGCATCCCAAAGTCTGTGCTTAGAAAAATCCCTATTTGGATTTCTTTTGAGAGCATGCTAGGCTGCAGAGGCCTCTAAGTCTGCATAGTGAATGGATTCCAGCAACTCACCAGTGAGCCAGAAAAAGAACCCAGCCAGGAAGCCAGGTCCGCCCCACTGGGTTTCAGAAGACCCTTCGGGTGCTTCCCAAGGGTTCAAGCTGGAATGGCCAGCCTCCAGGGTGGCCACTAACTTTACCCAGAGCCTAGTCAAGTCGCCGCCCAGCCTGTAGGGTTTTCAAACGCATGATGTCCTACCAATCACTCAAGAATCTACCTAGGCAGCACCCCAGCCTATAGGGAGTCTTCCATATTTCAGTCCTCTGCTGCCCCGGATTTTAATTACTATTTCAGAGGGACTAACAGCTTCTGCCAGTCCAGGGAACCTATACCCCTTTATGTCACACGTAACGAAAATGTGGCTGGAGATGATTCAAAAAGAGCTGCAGTAGTACCCCTGATCCAAAACGCGGTTGATATGACCTGGATTTGGCAGCAAGCAAGTAGCAGAGAGATGTTTGCCTGTGTTTTGCAGACTACCCAAAGGCATTCAATTGTGTGGGTCATAAAAAAAATCTGTGGATAGCATTGCTGAGAAAAGGAATTGCAGAGCACTTAATTGTGCTGGAGCAAAACATGTACACAGACCAAGAGGCAGTAGTCATTCGAATAGAGGGGGATGCGGTGTGGTGTCAATTCAGGAAAGGTGTGCAACAGGATTGCTTCTGTTCACCATGCGTGTTCAGTCTGCTTGCTGAGCAAGTAATGCCAGCAGCTGGACTCTAGAAGAAGAGCCCCGGGATCTGGAGTGTAGAAAGACTCCTTAACAACCCGCGACCCGCTTCAGGCAAGCTTGCTTGCTGAAAGCAGAGGATTGAAACACACACCAGGAAGCTCAAGTACTACAGCCTCCAGTTTGGATTACATCTCAACACCAAGAATATTAAGATGCTCACGCACAACTGGGCCAACAAGAAATATCCTGATAAACACAGAAAATACTGACCGTGTTAAGAATTATTTTACTTGGATCTATAGCCAACACCCGTGGACACAGCAGTCCAAAAATCAAAGGGCAAACTGCATGGGGGGAATCTGCTGCAAAAATCTCCTGAACGTGCTGGAAAGCAGGTATGCCACTTTGAGGACTAAGGTAAACCTGACCCAAGCCATGGTATCTTAATTTCCTCATATGGGTGCCAGGACAATGAATAAGGAAGAACCAAGCCCTGATGTCCCTGAACTGTGATGTTGGTGAAGAAAACTGAACTGCCAGGAAAAGAATGGATAAATATGCCCTGGAAAAACTACAGCCAGAATGCTCCTTAGAAGTGAGGCTGGTGAAACTCTGTCTCATGTACTTTGGACATAGGACCAGGAGAGGACATCATGCTCCTTAAAGTATCAGGTCAGCGAAACAGAGGAAGGTTCTCAATAAAGTGGATTGGCATAGTAGCTACAACTGTGGGCTCCAACAGGGCAACGGATATGAGGATGGGGCAGGACCAGGTAATATTTTCTGAACACACGTCACTGTGAGTCAGAATCAACTCGTTGGCACCAAACAAGTGCACCCCCTTGGGTCTCCAACGTCTTAGTATACCCTAGACACAGTCCCTCCTCCCTCCATATCCCTAGCCCTAGCCCTCTGAAGCAGGAAATGGGGACCACACACCCTCCCCGAGCTGTGAGCAAGCTCCCAGGGCCCTTTCTTTCAAAGCTAGGCGGGATGCATAGAATGCAAATGAACTCCATCTCAGCCGCCCCTTTCAAAGGCAAGTTGGAGGAAATAAGCCGACCTCAGAGTGGGACTCTAGGACGAGGGCTATTTCTTCTGTCCCTAGCAATCAGTCATCCCATGTTCCATCCCTGTTTTCCATGCCCAACCTGCCCAGGCCCAGCTACCTGCCCGACTTGGTGATGATCATCTCTGTGCCCAGCTCATGGAATTTGTCCCATAGCTCCTTGGTCTCCAGGCTGCAGGCAATTTTGGCCATTTCCTCACTGGGCATGATGGGCGTGGTGGGGATCAGAGGTTCCGTGCACAGAGAGGAGGAGGAGGGGCTGCTGCCGCCACCGCTGCTGCCACTCCCAAACTCCCCGTGGGCATCCAGGCTGGTCAGCTCACCCAAGGGCTGGCTGCAAGATGATTTCTCCACAAATTGCTCTGGTGGCAAAGAGAATGGAGCAGGACAGTTGGCACAGTCGAGCAAGGAGATGTTCGGGAAGGAGAAAGGCACAATTAAAACGAGCAACTGGATTTGGTTTTTAAAAAGTTAAACTGGGGAACTCCAGAAGAACTGAGATGACCCATTAGGATGTAGAAACTGCCTGCAACTCCCAATGGATGGCACCCACCAGTGCACACTCACTGAACCTAGTGAGTAAAGGCTGGCTGGAGCCTTGGCTTGCCACTGGTACTGAAATGCACACTGGGAACTTGGGGGTGTAGAAACGGAAATACAGTGACCAGGGAAGGCTAAACGGCAAGATCCCTCTAAGTCCTCACAAATTCTAGACTTCGCAAGTTGTGGAAGTTCTGCTGCCTTGACCACTCCAAGCTCAAACTCACTGCCATTCCAACTCATAGAGGCCTCCAGGAAAGGGTAGAACTGACGGGGTTCCCAAGTCTCTAACTCTTCACTGCAGGAGAAAGCCTCCTCTTTCTCCCGAGGAGCAGCCAGCGGTTTTGAAGTCAGGTCCGCTTGTGGTTAGCAGCCCAACATGTCACCCAGGCTCCCACATGGAAACCAAAGGGGTGAAGAGAGGACCACCTCCCTTTCTTTGGGAAGAACTTCTCCATTCCCTCCTCAAACCCTCTTTTCAGAAAACGGAATGAAACGGGGGCAGGGAAATGGAAGACACTGAGAGTGACAGTCTCGGAAAGACACAGGGACAGTTTTACCCTCTCCCATAAAGGCCTGGACCCCACAGTTGCAAGTTTTGAGTTTGCTGGTATGGTAAAAAAAAAAAAAAAAAAGAAAAGAAAGAAAAAAAAGATGTCAGTCACATCCTAGGCATAGTCAGATTCAAGCATTTTCTACAATATGCCTCCCATCCTGAGAGCTTACAACTTGCTTAATCACATAAACAGGCTTGGAGTAAACGCTTGAGGGGTTATGTGTATAAACCCCTGTCTTTAAACCACCCCCTCTCCAAAAAAAGGTCCTGGGAGTGAAGAAAACAGCCCCAACCCATCCAAGCAAACAGCGAACAGCGTGTTAATAAAATGGGAACGCTGTTTTGCCAGTTACCATCAGCTGAAATACTGCTTGCTGCCTGTGGACCAAACATTCTTCCCTACAGCTGATAAGGGCCCCGGCCTACAGCAGTCACTTTGATGAACCACAGGGGAACTTTTGTAATGGTCCCTCAAAAAAGAAACTCCTTGAATCTGCAATGAGAAGCTGATCTCCACACAATTCTCAAGTGCCTCCGAAGTTCTGACTGTATGCTTACACAGGCACATGAGGTGCACGGACATAGGGAATGTGTGTACATCATTCACGCATCATATAAAATGATAACGGAATCAAATTAATATTCTTATCCTCTCTTTTGAATCAAGAGAAAGGGAAACAAGCGATCATCTTAATTTGTACGGATAGTTCCTAAAACACATTGACATGGTATCTTTGGGTTTGTTTGTTTGTTTATATTTTTGTAAGTATCAAGCAGTCCTAGTTTGTTTTTTTCCTTATTTTTTCAACTGTTGTAAAAGGCAAGCTCCCTATGTCAGGACAGACAAGGTTCTCAGGGTTGGGGCATGGAGGAGGAAGGAAATTATATATAAGGGCTGTCAGGGTCGGAGGCAATTCCTTCAAAAGGAATTCGTACTCCAAATGAGTACTGTTGGGAGAAAGAGGAGACTTCTTGCTCTCCTGAAAAGGGCCACAGGAGCACTGGTGTGGTGGTGCGGGCTCATGTTGGGCTGTGACCCTCATGGTCTACAATGTGAAATCACCAGCAACCCTGCTGGAGAAAGACTGGGCTTCCTACTCCAGGAAACAGTTGCAATCTCAGACACCCAGCGGGGTCACTGAGGCAGCCTTGACCAATGACAAGGAGTTTTTTGGTTTAAAAAGGGTTACTCCTGGAGACTCATGAGGGTGGGAGGCGTGGAGTGGGAGGCTTATTTCTACCCTGTCCTACAGGGTCACTATGAGTTGGCATCAATACAATGGCTGTGAATTTTGAGTTTTTACCCTTAGGGCACCGTGGACCTAAGCCGGTCCACCGTGTATTTCAAAGTACTACATTCTCTTAAAATAATCACTGGGTGCTTCTACAGTGAATACCTGTGCTCTGTTGACCTGCATGAGGGACAAGAATGTTTTCTAGTTTTCTAGAACACCCCTCAAAATTCCAGGAAGGAGTGTATTATGAGCTGTCAACTGCTTTTTGGTTTAAAATATAGTAGAAAGTGGTCTTTTCAGGGGAAAAAATAGGGAAGGAAACAAAGTAGAAATGGTAGTTATACTGCAAATGGTTTTCCAATCTGCTTTCTGTACTTCAGTCAGGAACTTTAATGCAAGCTATGCTTTTCGGGCTAGACACTGAGCTGAAATGGAGTGGGGTGGGGGTGGTGGTTTATAAAGAAATGGTAAAAGCTGGGAAATCTCTGCAACTTAATTTTGAAATTGGTAGCTAATTTATATCTAAACACTTGAGGTTTGAATGGTTATTTCCATTTTAATGGCAGCTTCAGCTTTAAACGGTGTAGGTGGGAAGAACCAGGGACAAGGAATAAAAATCTAGCTAGAGAGACTTTTGAACATGATTCTCCTGCTCCTCTTCCTTGGTTTCAGTTTCAGCTCTCTGTTCTCCCGGCTCAGGCCCCATATTGTCTTCTTCTCACTATTCTTATCATATTATCTTGGATACATTTAATGTGTTGTGAAGATAGAAGAAAGGAAGGAGAAGTCAGAGTGTTAAAAAAGGAACCAAATGCTTTCAATGAACAATTAGTGATGTGTCCTGGCCTATTTCCTAGGTCTTCAAAAGGCAATGATGAAAATGCTTAGTTCGAAAAGATACTTTCTTCTCCCTCACGTGCAAACGGAAGTCTTTCTTTCTTTTTAAGCACTTTTCTTCGGGAGTTTCTTCTCACAGGATTCACTTGTGCTGAGGGGAACATGATCTGTCTTCTCCATTTACTCTTCTATAAATGGCAAAAGTTGCTAAAGAAACAGTGTAAGTAAAAGTTGAGGAATCTGGGAAACGGTTACTGGCTAGTGTTTTGGCCAACCTCAACTGAAAATGGTGGCAGTTATAAAACGATGTCTTACTGACAAGCTTGGGGCTTCTGGGCCACAAAGGGTGCATGGCAGAAAACTGGCTTATTCAACAGGACCTCCTTCCCAGGCTCGTCAGAAGGACTCTTCAGTCTATTCAAGTCCAGGGGGAAATACAAGGTAAACGGATGTGCGTGCATGCGCGTGTGTGTTTGTGTGTGTGTGATCTCTTAGATCTTTTTAGTTTCAAATACACACCCTGTATATAACTTGTAGAGTTTTCAACCGTATTTCATTATTATATGTCGCAGGACCAAGTCAACAGCGTTCCATACACGTATGCATATCACAGGTCGTAAGTGCGACTTGGTAGGAAGATTCTGAACAAAATGGTAGAGGCCCCCAAACGCTATGTGCTATCAGTAGTATAACACACCAAAGCATCAGACCACTGCCACCATCCCGGCGAGAAAAAAGAAAACATCGCCCGCTCTCGAACGTGGTCAGAGGACCTGTCGCTGGCCCGCAGCGCCGGGGAAAGTGACCACCCTCGCCGCCAACCTGTTAGCTTCCCGAGGCCAAGGGACCGGACAGCGGGACGCCTACAGTCCCGGCCAGTGCCCTCCGCGGGCGGCCCGGCGGTCCAGCCCGACTTACCCAGCGGTTTGATGGTGTTCTCCGTGACCTCCTTCTCCTTGGAGCCGCCGCTCGACATGAGCGCAGCGATGGAGAAGGCGTTGGCCCGGGACGAGAGCTGAGGCTTGGGCGACGCGGTGAACTCCATGGCCCCCAGCGCGGGGTGCTGGCCAGGGACTGGGCCTGCCGAGTCCAGACACCCCACCGGAGACAAAGACCCGCAACAGCGCCCGAAGTTCCCCAGTGAGAGTCACGGTGCAGATCGGGGGGCACTTCGGACGGGTCAGTTCCAATCTCCCAAGGGCTCCCCACCAGTCTCTCCGCCCGGGACCACCAGGCCCGAGAGCCGCCGGTACTTGGAGACTCGCGCGGAGAGTAAGTCAGTTAACCAACCCGGGGTCCGCCAGACGCACAAGCACCAGGGCGCTTGTCTCGACTGGAGGCTGCGCTACTCCAAGCCGGAGACGCGGCCGCGCCAAGTCCGGGGGTCCCGGAGCACCCACCCCCTCCGGCTGCCTTCCTCCCTCCCCCGCTGGCGACGGCGGGAGCGGCTGGGGCTGCAGGGAGGCGGCTACCAGCGAGCGCGTTGCCGGGGGGCGTGCGGAGCGGGCGCGGCGCCGAGGACACTGCGCCCGGGCGCTCGCAGTCCTGCGCCTTAATTTGCTGGCCGAGGCGAGGCCCGGCGCCCCGCAGCCAGTCAGAGGCGCCCGACGTCACCGCTTCCGGATACTGCCACCGGGGGCGGGGCCGCCCGAGGGCTGGGCCCGGGAGGGTGCGCCGGGGGCGCGGCGCCCGCGTGGCCTCCCGCCGCGATCGCGCGGGAGCCCGCCCCCTGCCCCCCACTCCGGGAAAGGGGGTACCACACCCTGGGCCGGCCCAGATGGCGCGGAGGTCACCCGCCTGGTCTGGCAGTCGCGGGGCACAGGGCTGAGCGCGCTATCCGGTGAGAGCACCTTTGGCAGGTCTAGGAACCCGGCGCCCCGGCGAGGGAAGCTAGACCAGAGGAAGCCTGGAACCTCGGCATCCTCCATCCTCTTCCTCGCTCACGCGCGAAGTTTCAAAAGTTGAGAAACGCGAAGAACAGCGGGAAGCCTTGCCGCAAAGCCTCGCCGCCGGCGCGCCGAGCCCTGCACTGCTAGATTGGTCCCATGAGCGGGCACTGTGAGAACTGTGACCCCCGCGCCAGTGGGACCCCTAAGTCTGTCCATTTGCTTAGCCATCTGACTGTCTATAAGGTTGGAAAGACGAAACCGGCAAAAGATATTCTACGGGGAGAGCTGCGAGCATTTGGCCAAGGCCAGGGTGTTGCACTGAGAACCGCGGCTTCTGTAGCGCAGGAGAGCGCCTTTCCTTTGAGAAAGTTGAGGGAGGGAGAGAGGGAAAGGGAGAGAGCGAGAGATCTGCGTCAAAAGGGAAAGCAAGGAACCGGGAAGGGTGCAAGGGGCTCTCCTTTAGCGGGGATCATAGCAAGCATAGTGGGAGAATGCGCGCCTCACCATGCCTGGGCGCACCTCAAACCCTTCAGGCTCTGCAAACTTGGCTGTGACCAGGGCTTCCCAAGAGTTTGTGGGGCATCCTTTAGACCAGCTTGAGCCTGAATAACTCAAATTCTCTGAATTCGCAGGGTAATCCGCTTCACTTGTAGCCATGTAAACGCAGGCTGACACCCACTCAAGCTGTACATGTAAATATTTGAGCTCCATTCCAGCCAGTTGGTCTGGCGATTAGGATCCTCTTGGTGGGTCTTTAAACAAAAAACACCCAAAACACAAAAACGCCTACTCATTTCCCACTAGCCCTTCTCTCCCTCTATTATTATTTTCTCACCCCATCCAGTTCCTGAAATAAACGCATATTTTAAAAACAGAAAGTCAAAATAGCTGTTGAGCATATTTTAAGTACGAAACACAAGGACATGTAGGACAGTCGTGCTATAAGCCTGTCTTGTCATCTTGTAGGACAGATGCCAAGTGGCAAAGTAGTTAGGGGTTGTGGGAAGACTGGCGGTTGTAAACCGCCAACCCACTCTTGGGGAGAAAGATCTAGCACTCTGCTTCTAATAATAATAATAATGATGATGATAATAATAATTGCAGCCTTGGAAATCGTGTGGTACACTTCTACTCTGTCCTATAGAGTTACTATGAGTCTGGATAGACTTAGCTGCAGTGGGTTGAGGTATGACTGTTTAGTCATTGTGTGTCAAAAGTTTCCAACAAGATTCTGCCTGAAAACGACTGAGAAACTAATTCTACTATTAATCGCCAAGTGCAAAAGGCACATTGTCTGGAAGGGCAAAATGCATAGCATAAATGTTTTGGGGAAAATTCATTGAAACTTTGACATTAAGTGCTGAAAGTAGTTTACGCTGGAGTCTACGTAAAGGCTATTGGCTATTTCGGTGAAAACAGGGTTCTCCCAGACCAAAGCAGTGCCCTCTTCCTCCCAGGCCACTAGGGAACTTGGAGGGTAAGCACTTCAGACCTCATCTTTGGTCACACCCAGACCCTGCAGCTGCGATTGTTCACCAAGGTCCATAGGAGAGGAGTTAGGACTTTAAACAGAAAGAAGGCTTTCAAATTAAACTGCAGCAAAAATAGAGATGTGTTTGAGAAGCTTTCTGTTCTTGAACCATTGATCCTTTAGCAATTATTCCAGTCCTCTGTCCAAACACACCTCCTCACTGTCATTACCCAGATCTTATTTAGATAGTAGGGAACACCTGGTTGCTTTCCTGTCTCAGATGCTTAGAGTTTGACCTGAAAAGATTTCAGTCAAGAGGGTGTTTCTTTGCATTCAGCCTTTTTCTTATTTGTGGCTTGGGCTTGTCCATGTTAACTTACACCTTGCTATGTGTTTCAGCAAGTCTTGTTCTCCTGAGTTAGTTTTCAAAAACTTTCCACGGAATGCATTTTATCTCAACTAAAAAACAACATCCACAACCTTGTCACGGAATTTCCACACAGGGGGAATAAAAGAAAGCACAAGATGTACCATAATACGTTTCAGCCCGGTATTTTGAATAATTTCATGCGAGGAACATCCTTAAAAAACTCGAGGGCGCAAAAGAAAGGTTCAACTGTTCCCAATCCGTTTCCAACCACCTCTTCAAGCGTTCTAAGTCCGGTTCTGGGTCTCTTGTGGGCAGAGGGACCTACCCATCCCAGGGAGGGTGAACTAGAAGCAAGGAATACTGAATGATCGCAGGAGCGAGCGGCAAGCCAGAGCAATGCAAAGACCCTTCAAAACAAATCCTGGGCGCCAAAGGTGAGCCATTTGGGGATCCCTAACAAGCGATGCATCTTTCTGGTGTTGAAACCGAGGCAGTAAAACGTGTGCTACTACATCATTACCGGGGGCACACGGTCCCTCCTCTTAGATTTATTGCCTTTGCAAATCAATATGGTGCTATAAAAACGGGGAACTAGAGCTTCACCGCCGAGCGAGAGGTGCTGTCCAGCGGCGACCCGGAGGCCTCCTGAAGCCAATAGCCTGGCGTTCTGAGGTCTGGTCGAAACCCCACTTTTAGCGCGGATTAACTGCATAGTTGGAACAAAGAGATTGTATCCCTTGAGGCCTTTCCCGACCGGCTGCAGGCGCGCGCGTTGCTCCCGGGGCTGAACAGTGCTTTGGCCTTGGAGAAGGTTTTGAGTCCTGACTTTAGCTCGCATCAGCCCAGCGATTTTGTGTAAATTGCCTAATAACTTCTCAAAGCCTCAGTTTCATCATCTATTAAAATGAAGTCAATAAGTGCGTCCTACTTGAATGATGACTCTGGATTCATGCGATAATGTGCTTAAAGCGCCTGGCATATAGCACCCGCTACTCCAACATTGGTACCAGCAAAAGAACAGAATTTTGTTTTATTTAACGATTGCACTTCAGATTCAAGATCTCACAGTCGTTCGAGTATGTTTCACGTGTTCCCGAACCAATGTACTGTGTAGATAATTTGGGAACATATGCGAAGGATTGGGGACGGGGTGGTGTCACATGGTGGAATTGGACCATTATTTCCATCCTGTTAAAATGAGGAATTTAGGAACGTACATTTTGTTTTTAGGTTCCAATTTGGTTCTATGGAGTTTGATGGCACCGAAGACTGGGAAGATGTTGTCTCTCTAATCATGATTCCCTTCCAAAGTCCCATCGCAGGTCTCCGGAGTTCCAAAGTTCCTAAGTTCTTGAGAACTGTCGGGGAAGCAAAAGGTCTCCTGCGTTGAGCCAATCAATGGGCGCCCGCTTAACGAACGCTGGAGTCGAAGCCTGAGCTGAGAGCCGCGGGCCCGGCTCCCGGCGGGCCTGGCCCGCTAGCTGGAGACACCAGGGACGCCCGATCCCTTTCACTGCCCACAGACGGCAAGAGGCGCGGCCCGATGTCAACCTGGGAGAAGCGGAGAAAGAAGACCCGCTTCTCAGCATGCGGGTGGCTCCCTAGACTTCCGAAACGCCCAGCGCCGCTTGCAATGCGCTTCCCATGCTCTCTCGCTCGTTTTGGCAGGCCATTTAAGAACTGCAACGGACCTCTGTGCCTGGGGATTCCTCGTTGAGTTTACTGAACAACAAGGGAGCCCAAAGCCTTGTGAGAAGGGCAGCCGCTGTCCCCGGGAAGCCGCTCGGACGCGTCTGCAGGGCTCAGCGAGGTCGGCGCGCGGACTCGCGCCTGGCAGGGAGCGCGCGGCGCGGCCGCGGACTTGCCCAGCCGCTAGAGCGCGGGTCCGAGAGCCTCCGCTGAGAGGCACCCCGCTTCCAGAGTCAGGCCCTCCCAAGTCCCGAACCGCAGGTCTCTGGCCACCCCGGGTCCCAAGACGCGCCCTCACCGAGCGGGTTGCTGGAGGGCGCGGCTGGAGCGGGTCACTAGATGTGTCGGGGTGGCGTGAGCGCTTGGGGCCTGAGCTCTCAGACCCGCGCCCAGCAGGGGGGCCACGAACAAAGTCTCCTGGGCCTAAACGGGGATCAAGGGCCCTTGTGGCCCAGCCCGAGGTGACGGCAACTTCAGCCTCTGGCTTCCCGCTGCCGGCACCTGTGGATGCGTTCGGGTTCTGCCGGCCTTTAAACGTGCCGATATGAGACCCCTGAGGTCACCAGCACGAAATGCCCGGGCCGTCTCCTGCTCGCTTTCCCCGGGCACCGCGACCTCCCGAGTCTGGCAGATCCCTTTGCTCTCGCCTGAGGGAGGTCAGGCGCTGGGCTTTAAGGCCAGCGATTTTCCCAGTCCTTCTCGCTGCCACACGTTCTCAGTTCGATCCCCACCCGCCCCTGACTGCAGAGACCCGCCCTAGGTAAACCAGGCCTCCACGTAACCGGGAGAGAACCCTATCACTACATGTTGGGTGGAAAACCAGCGATTTGATCCCAAGAATTGCAAAGAAAGACGCTTTCCGACCCTGTCTCTGGTCACAGAACCTACAATCCACACTTTGCCTCCAGCCCTCTAACCTCTTTTCTCTGTCCCTTTTTCCTTCT